CAAGACACATATAAATAGATGCACAGACAGGCGGACGCCAGACATGGTTAAACCAGGATTTCACGTTGATCAAGAATATATATACTTTATAAGGTCTCTAAAGCTTCTTTTGAGTGTTACATACATTATGGAAAAAAGCAAAATGAGTGAGTGAGCAAATGAGTGGGTACAGTGAGTAGATAAGACAAAGATAAACATAATAAATAAACTACAACATAGTTTTTTTTAATAATAAAAAATTGCCTCATATATATTGATATGAAAATTTATTTTATATTTGTCGAAGCCTTCGACGCAAATAAAATTTAGAATTCTTCAAAATACACGATGAAAAAACCGATATTATATTTGCTACTTACATATAAACTTAGTGTTTTTCGTTTTAAAAACACAAAACTCTATACTTTTGAGAGAACGCGACGTTATATAAAGAAACTATTAATAAATTTTCTGCCCATTCGAATAATGAAAATGAAGGAGCAAGCTGATAAATTGCTGCTAATTAAAAGTGTTGCTTCTATTGTTGATAACAGAAACGTAAAACAACAACCTTCTCGCTTAAAATTTGGTTAAAGATTGGATCATCTTGTTATTTCGTTGTTTTCGGTAGTACTTAATAATTTTGTGGCGCAAACGTTGCTAACAAGAAGTGTCTTGTCTTATTATATATAAATTTTTTGCTGCTTGTCACAGTGAAAGTGACAATAAAAGCTACGAGAGCAGCTTGCAACAATAATAGCAAACAAAAAATAACAAATTGCATTTTCAGCTTAATCAAATTTAATATCGACCCTATACTAGCCACTCCGTCCTTGTGTACGATGAAATGCTTAATTAAAAATTACTTAGCAGGGTCTGGGTTAGGTTCGAATTGGTACGCAACCTAGTAGTTACGTGAAAATTTCAGTCAGATTCACATTATGGAAGGGAGCAAATTGCCATCTACAGTCTTTTTATTTAAACTAAATTAGAGGTTTTGTGTCAAGCAAATTCCACAACCATCAATCCATGTTTAATGAACGTAAATATTTGGAAACATCAAACCCAAACTCAGTTTGGCAACTCTCTCGCGCGGTATGGTCGTCTATATTTTGTTTCGGCAATTAATAATTTAATTTCTTGTTGAATTACGTGGCTACTTTGCTTTATAGTGTGTGAATTTATAATATAATTTGAAAAGAAAGCGAGTGAATTCAAAGTAAAAGAAGTATTTTTTCTTCACGCTTTCATGCATTGGATTTTTGCAAACAAAAATTTGAGCTCTGACATAAATCTCTCTTTTTTTTTTTTGTTTTGTTTTTTTTCTCTCTTTTTCTCTGTTTATTTTTTCGGTGTTTGTAGTTTGTTTTGCGTTTGATCTCTTGTTCTAGTGTCAACGTAACAGAGAAGTTTTGCTGAAATTGGTTGATAAATTTTTGTGTTGAGGATTTTTTTGCAATATGTCTGTCTATTCTTCACAATCCACTTCTGTCTTCTGGACATTGAGTGATTCGTTTCGTGTTGGCTTTGCGATCGCTTTGGCCACGAAAAGTGTGCCGGTATTATCGGCCGTGCTGCGGTCATAGATTTCTAGAAATTGTTCACGGAGACGAGAATTAGTTTCTCTGAATTGAGTAAAAATCTCGGCTCTTTGTGGGAAAAGTTTCAGATCATTAAGACTAGGTTTGATGAGTGTTATTTTATTGAGCATTCCTCTTCTTCCCAAGCTAGTAAAATTACAACTCGTAGCGTAGCGTGTGGTACGTCATCTCTAATTCCTCCTAAGTCCGATTCGATTAGCGTTTCCATAATGTCCTCAAAGAACGTCAGCGTTTCTGATATGGCTGAGTCGGTCTGTAACAAAAAGGTTACAAATAAGCCGGCAAGTCCTTCTGGTTAAGCTATGCTGAAGTGACAAGAGTACCGCTTCTTAGTGGCGTCACTCACTCAACTCAGGCGTGATCGCTTAAAACTAATAAAGAGCAATATAAATCCTCCTCCCCCCTGGCTGTTTGAGTGTGAACGCTGGTCGCCAAACTGGGCACGCCGCACTAGCTGCTCGTGCAAGTGTGGTTGCCCCTTCTATATTCTCTCAACTCAAAACTCCCCAGTCGTGAACCCTACTACTCCTAGCTGTAATGACATTTGCTTGACGGGTTAGTATTTTTAAAATGGCTTCGTCTCAATCTAGAGCAATCGCATCTTTTAAAATTCTTGCTCCGACTAAAAACATTGATATGTTGTTTGATAAACTACTTGCCAGTGGCCTGTTGGATTCTTAATAAAGGAATTTATCCCTCGTGATCGTCCCCGTAATACTAAACCAGTAGTCCTCTCGCCTTCAAAAAACTCGATGTTTCTTCACGTTTACTATCTCTCTTTTATCAAAACGTTAGGGGCGTAAATTCAAAAATTCGTTCTACCTTCCTAAATTCAGTGGGCACGGAGTTCTCTTGTTTGGCCTTCACTGAAACTTGGTTAAAACTTGATCTATATTCGTCTAAACTTTTCCGCAATTCTTTCCAGGTTTTCAAAAATGATCGATTGGATCGCATTGGTGGTGGTGTATTAATTGCCATATCTTCGTCATTTCCGTCCAAATCAATTGAATTTCCTACTACTCCTGACGTCGAATTTATCGCCACTCGAGTGAAAATGCCTGACATATAACTATTCATAACCTGCTCCTATATTCCCCCAAATTCTGATGACACCATGTATAAGAAACAGGCCGAGCAGTCGAAACCCACCGATTTGGTAGTTGCGTTGGGAGACTTCAGTTTTCCTCAAGTCACTTGGTGTTAAAGTGATGGTTCTGGCTGTTTGATTCCTACTTCAACATCTGATAGAGCTGTTGTGTTCTTTAACGAACTAGTTGATCATAATTTATTTCAATACAACCTTATCCCTAATTGTAATGGTAGACTGCTTGGTCTCTGCTTTGCCAATTTCCCTGAGATTAGTGCAAATCGTTGTCCACCTTTTAGTTTACCCAAGGATCCTTATCATCCAGCAATGTGTATTTCCTTTCAAGCATGATGATTCGCTGAACTGTTTTAATGTTCCAAATCCAACTTTTTGTATTGCTAAAATATCACGTTTCACATATAAGGCTTGATTTCTCAACTGGAAGCATTGAAATTTACTATCATTGTTCTATCATACATTAAATCTAGCTATTTCGGCATCTATCATTGTTCTATCATACATTAAATCTAGCTATTTCGGCATCTGTTCCGGTCAAGCAATCCCGACCTCAAAGCAGATTTCCCCCGTTGTTTAATAAGACAATTAAATCTTACAAGAATAGAAAAACTACGCTTTTCAAAATATATTCGAAAAGTGCCTCTGCTTTCGACTATTTCGCTGACTCGGCGGCAAGACATGATTTAACTCCCTCAACCACCAATATTATTGCAGATACCTTTAGTTAACTACATTCTCTCTGCTCGCTAATCCTAAATACTTTTTTAAATTTGTTAACTCAAAAAGAAAAGTATGCACGGATCCCTCGCATATTTGTTTTAGTGGGTCTGGTTCCTCGGATGATTTTTAAATCTCAAATCTGATCGCTGAGTAGTTCGGTCGAAACTTTTCCACTGCTAATTCCGATTTATCCGCAAACTACCCTCATCCTATAACTGATTTGGTTTCAATTCCTATGATGTTGTTTTTAAAGGGTTGAGTTCTCTAAAATATAGTTGTGCGCCTGGACCTGATGGAATTCCATCATGTGTACTTAAATCTTGCGCTGTCGAGTCATGTGGTGTGATCTCAAAGGTTTTTAACCTGTCCTTGAATTTAGGTGTTTTCCCTTCGTGTTGGAAGGGAAAACAACACCATGTTCCTTATTCCTATCCGCAAAAGTGGAAGTAGACAATTTGTTGAGAACTACAGAGGCATAGCCAAGTTGAGTGTCTTGCCCAAGTTGTTCGAGCGTATTGTGACTCAGCATTTGGCCTTTGCCATTAATTCGTATATTTCTCCGCACCAGCACGGCTTTCGGAAAGGGCGATCTACAGTCACCAACTTGTTAGAGTTTACTTGTCATGTTTTCAATGCTTTTTCTAGTGGCTCTCGCGCAGATGTAATATACACTGATTTAAGCCAAGCGTTTTATTTGGTTAATCATAACTTACTTATCTTTAAACTCCAAGCCTATGGCTACCGTTTCTATTTAGTGAAATGGATAAGCTCTTATCTGCAAAGTAGATCTTTCAGGGTTACGTTTAACATCATCACCTCGGATGAATTCCCCGTGACGTCTGGCGTACCTCAAGGCAGCCACTTAGGACCCATTTTATTTAGTGTACACATTAATGATCTCCCTTCGGTGATTAATTCCAGTCAGATCTTAATGTACGCTGATGATCTGAAACTGTTTTCTTCCTTCTCTCTAGAATCGCAATCCCATCACCTTCAAAATGACTTCAATAATTTGGTTGCATGGTACTCTTTGAATTTTCGGAAACTAAATCTAAATGAATGTAAGAAGCATTTTTTCTCAAGAAGAAAGTCATTCATTACTCAGTATTTTATTGATTCGCATAAGTTGGAGGACGTCGATTCGATCACAGATTTAGGCGTTCTATTTGACCATACTTTTAACTTGCATAGTGAGCTCTCGATTAGCAAAGCTAGGTCCGCGCTTGGTTTTATAAAAAAGGTGGTCCAAAGAGCTTGATGATCCTTACGTTA